CCGGCATGCAGCTGCCAGAGCTGCCGGCAGCGAGATCCTCTCCTCTCCCCCTTCCCTCCCTCCTCGTCTGCCTCCGCTGCCGCTTCAAATCAGCCTGGAAAGGTTAGAGACGGAGGATGAATTTAAAGTGATTACAATCACCTTTTAGACAAACAACTCCATCAAATATTAACGGAATGGAAAGTATGAATGACTCAAAGCCGTGTTGCCCTCCAGGCTGTGCAGCCGGAGGAGTTTGCTTCGCTGGGGCTCTGAGGACTGTTGGCAGCACCAGCTGTGCAGGGAGGGGGCCAGGGCGAGAGCCCCGAGCATTGTGGGGGTGATGGCTGACTTGGGATGTTTTGCACCCCAACAGCTGCATCATCAGTTATTCCTCCAATCTGGGCAGCCCAGCTCCTGTCTCTGCTGTGGCTGAGAGCAGATGATGCTCAGGGAGGGCAGAAGATGGTGGCTGGCCCCTGGCAGGGTTCCTGGGATGCCTAGGCGTACCCCGTGGTGAGGAGTCCCGGCACCAAACCACCTCTGGCATGAAGCCGCAACTCTGGTTCATCTTTGAACCTGGCTCTTCCTGGCTGTATTTAATACTTCCATGTTGGAAGAGGCCATGAGCAGCCAAATCCCCTTCTTCAGACCAGGTGACCTTTGGTGATTCCACTTGCACCCCCACAGCTGCCTTGGGGGCACAAAGTCCCGGCAGGACCCCACCAGCCCACGCGTGGCAGTTCTGCTGCAAAGCCTATTGTCCCTGCTGCGGGAGCAGGGCTTGCTGCGGCCTGGAGCAGCCCTGGCTTCTTGGTCTCCTCTTTCTCTGCTCCCTTTCACTCATTAGATATTTATCAGAGAGAAACCCAACTGTATCCTGTGTCCCCAGATCGATGGGACCTTCTTGAAGGCTGCTATGTGCCCAGAAGAGTGGGGCCAGTCCCGGCTTCCCCTTCTGCAGGGATTTCACCTTTCCTCCTCCTGCTGGCTCTGTGGTTCGCAGGGGCTCTGGGGTGTCCCCTGGGGATGCTCTGGGTTTGGGGACCATTACAGAAGTCCCCTGCCAGTCCTGTCTGCTTCTCCGAGCCCCTGCCCATCCGCCCTGCGCATCCCCACAGCTGCCCATGCCCTGCCCCAAGTCCCAGCCCAATGTTGTCCCATCTGGTGTCTACAACTGAACCATTTTCTCCTGTGCCTCAGTTTCTCTGTGTGATCTCCTTGGAAGGGGCTGTAAAATCAACAGCGTGGGCTGGGCTTTTGTATAGGGACTTATTTGCCATCCCCGAGCATGTTGCCGTCCTGGGTGTGGGACACTTGGGGTTTGACCTGCAGGAGATGAGTGTGCAGGCGGGAGGAGCCTGGGGCGGTAAATCCAACTATACTGCCGGGAAGATGGAGCCGGGGAGCTGAGGGCAGCGTCTGCAGCCACTCGCCATCCCCCAGGACCACACACTTGCCCTGTGATAATATATCACCCACAGCCTTGGGACAGCACCCACTTGAGCTGCCAAGGTTTTTCTCCCACTGGGAAGAAGCAGTGAATACATTTCTCTCTCCCACTGGGAAGAAGCAGTGAATACATTTCTCTCTCCCACTGGGAAGATTCCCATGGAAATCTGCAGGTTCCCACTGGAGCAGCTCCTGGTGGAGGCAGGGATCAGGGCTGCTCTGTTTGGGAACAAGCAGGGTTCCACCCACAGCAGGGTTTCCCCGACAGGCATGGGGACCCCAAGAAGGGACCTGCTGGGAATGCTCTGCATCACTAGAGGGGACCGCCCGGCACTGATCCCTGCAGAACCCAGGGCACCCAGCTCACCGTGTCCCCCTCCTGTCCCCCTGCCCAGGGACGGGGACTCCTCCTCCGAGATCATGCAGCTGGATTTTGAGATGGAGAACTTCACCAGCCAGTCGGTGACGCGCCGCATCATGTGGCACATTGACTACCGGGGCCGCAACCCCCCGCCCGACCTGGAGAAGGTGGTGACAGAGCTGACGGTCATCCAGAGGGACATCCGGGCCATCGTGCCCCTGGCCATGGTAAGCGGGTTCCCTGTCCTCTGCTTAGCTTATCTGGTTTGATATTGGGGGTGGGTTGGGTCCCCCTGAGGGATCTCCCACCAGCCCATCCATCCCGTAGCACCTATACATCCATACATCCCTCTCGCCCACCCACTCACGGGTCCTTCTCTGCCCCAGGGCTGGAGAAGGAGAGAGGCCAGCCAGGATCTGGCCCTGGGGGCACAGGCTGCCCTCTAACGTGATGGTTCCCTTTGCACCCCATCCCCAGGACACGGAAATCATCAACACGGCCATCCTGACGGGGCGGACGGTGGCCATTCCCGTGAAGGTCATCGCCATTGAGCTGAGCGGCGTCATTGTGGATGTCTCAGCTATGGTCGAGTGCAAGTCCAATAACGAAGACATCATCAAGGTGGGTGGAGGGAGGGGGCTGTCGTGGCCCTAGTGAGGGGTTGAGCTTCCCCCTGGGGTGCTGGCCCCAGCAGTGGTGCGGGCTGGAGCTGGATGAGCTGGGGCTGGTGGCTGAGCTGATGTGCTGCACAGGTCCACCCCATCCCAAGCATCATCCCCTCAGTAGCTTCAGTCCACACATGCCTCTCCCTGGGATCTGTTGGAAGAAGGACAAGACACTTTGTCACTGTCCCTGGAGAGGCCATGGGATGTTCCAGCGCTGTGCAGGCTGGCACCAGGCAGCAGCAATAACTACGGGTTATCACGGCACTTAGTGCTGATAAGGTGAAATATTGTCACCTTGCAGTGTAAGCTGCACGTTTCCATCAGCGGCTTCACTCGTGCCTCTGGGTGACATTTATCTCCTGTTCGGACCAGACTCTGGGCTGAGCTCAGGCTGGGGGCTGGCCCCAGTGAGGCGTGGGGGGATGAGCGGGGCAGTTGGGGACAATGGAAGGAAAATGGGGACTGAGGGAGAGGAGCAAGATGGGTTGCACAGTAGAGATCCCAATAAGGTGAATGCAAAAGGCTCGCTGTTGCAGCAGCAGCAATTGCCCACGCATCCGCCCCAGCCACCGAGGCAGCAGTCGGTCCTCACATCCAGCCATGATTTTCCCATCACCAGACCCATTCATCCAAATACATTTCTCTGTCACTGTTTGTATCCATCTGCCCGCCTGCCTGTATTATTCTCTCACTATTTCCACCCATCCACCCCTAGACATCACTACCTTCTCCCAAACACCTCCCACCCCTCTCCCTGCACGCACCCAGCCAGCCCACGCTCTCCATGTCCCCGGGCAGAGGCAGGGAGTCATGCTGGGGGTTGGGGCTCCCCCATGTCCCCCAGCCTGGGGGACGTAGCCCCTTCTCCCCTTCTTTGCCAGCAGCCACCAGCTGCTCCCCCAGCCGAGCCAGGGGTGATGGGCAAAGCCCCAGCCCCGCTGCCCTGTGCCCTGGCCCCCTTGAGACTTGCTCTCCCTGGTGGTCCGTGGGTGGGTGAGAGCCGGTGTCGCAAACTGTTTACCCAAGTTCTTGAGTAAAACTCCGATCTGTGCGATTTACAGCACTGGGTCTAATTTATAGATACTGGTCCTCTGCAGCGTGATAAAACACTGGAGCAATAATACACTTCAGGATGGACTCCAAGACACTTAAACTGTTTAATGTGCTGCCTTTCTACTCATAAATCTATTTACACGCTGTCCCCAGACCTGGGGGAAGCAGACACATGCACACAAGCTGGGATGAATAATGCATGGAGCGGCCCTCCGGCCCTGGCTCGCCTCCTGCTCGCCTCCCGCTCGCATCCCGTTCGCCGCTTGGAGCTCCGTGCAATTTCTTGCTGAGTTATTTTGTGTTTGTGCCGGAGCTTCGTTTCCGAGGGAGCTCTCAGTTACCTGCTGAGATTGGGGAGTATGATTATGGTGTCAGGGCTATAAACCTGTTACATAAATCAAAGCTTACGTAGTGGGATGCGCTGTTACTGTAAATAATTTAACATGAAGGAGGGCTGGGGAGCTGCTTCTCCCCACGCTGCCTGTGGCTTGGTGGTGGTTGCTCTCATGTGGAATGTGGAGGGGAGATATCCTGGACCTGGTGAACATGGCTGTGAAGGTGCCAGTGCCACCCATGAAGGATGGTGGGAGAACATGAGTGGCAGCTGTCACCCTCATCCCCTTCTGTGGTGACATGGGAGGACTGCCTGTGCTCAGCCCAGAGAGGAGGACCTCATCACTCAAGGTAGCATACAAATAATCCCCCTTCACTGCCTGCATTGTGGCCTCAGGGACTGTGTACATGTTGAGGGAAGGACCCTCTCTGCCATCAGCCACGCTCTATGGGAGATGCTCAACCTCACCTGCTATGTGAACCTTTCTTAGGAGGCCACCATCCACATCTGCTTGAGGACCTAGCAGGAGCGAGTCAGCTCAGTGGGGCTGAGCCTTGGGGACGCCGGTCACCCACAGTCACTGCTGGGACCCCTGACTGGCCAATATGGGATCCCACCAGACATCTTCCCAGTCTTGAGGGCCTTGGAGAAGACATGTCCCCTTGATCCCACGTTTGAGGCTGTGCCAAGGGGGAGTTCCTGGCCACAGAAGCAGAGCCACTGATGTCTTGGCTCGGAGCCCGGGCAGACCTCAGCCTCTCGCTTCCCGAGGTCTTGCTGTGAATCCGGGAATTTTCTCCGAACAAGCATGCACTTCATTTAAAAGCTAATCTGCAGTCACTCCATCATCAGGACAGGCCTGATGCGCTGGGAGTTTTTGTTGTCATAGTTTCAACCCCCCCAATTGCAAAGCAAATGGTCCCCAGAAGAAGATGCTGGGGGGATTTATTAGCTAAGGTAATGCAAGCAGCAGCCCATCATATTTATTGTGATAAATGGCATAATATCCAGAGCACTCCATTGCTGGAGGATTTGCCCAGGAGCTCATCTTTATTCAGACACCGCCCCACCAGAGATGAGATTGTCTTTTCAGATGTGCTGAGCTGGTTTCTCTGATACAAAGATGAGGAACAAACCCTCCTGCATTGCACTTCCTTCCCGTGCCTGAGCAGTGGGGACTTCCCGAGGAGCCCAGGTCCCAGGCTCTGCTGCCTCCACTGGCCCCGGGGACCATGGGCGCCTCACAGCAGGCTCCTGCAGCCGAAACATGGAGCTCTTGTAGAAGTCAGGCCCTGCTCGTTGGCTTGGAAATACAAATTTCCCACAGTTGAATGACCACAGGTGCCCAAAGATAAGGTGGGGAGAGAGACAGTGATGCTATCACCTCTGCTGTCAGCTACCGTGCAGGATGGACTGAACCCCTTATCAGCCATCAGGCAACCCACTGGGATAGCAGCTTCTTGGAAGCTTTTCTGTGCTGTTGAGCTGTTTGGCACATCTGAGAGAGTGACTGTGCTGCTGGCTGAGCAAACAGGTTTTATTTTTCCCCAGCAGCGAACAACTCTGATGCAATTCCTGATGGTGTAGCAGGGGAAGGACAGGGGGGTCAGGGTTGGGCCATAGGACCGCTGCAGGTGAAAGGTTGGAGCCTCCCCAGCCTGGTTGTCTTCGGCCACCTTTGCTGGGAAGGAGAAGGTGCTGTTGACTCTGATGGCTTAAGCTGAAACACGGGTGATGCTGCAGTGGCATCCTCTTAGCTCCTTAATTGGCTCAGATTGGTTGGTAATAAGTGGCCCCTGCAGGATGTATTTGTTTTATAGCAAATTTAACTAATGGCATTCGCATAAATGGGAATTAAAAGAGAATGAGAGAGAAGATGAATGTGAGGATTCAGATGGACTATGGAAGCTCCTCCTAGGGTTAGCAGGAGGGACACAGACAAGGCACTGGTGGGTACCTGGACACGGGCATGCGGCTGGTCCCTGCTAGCTGCCTGTGCCCTCTGGGCATGGGTGGAGGAGATTTTGGGGCAAATGTTGAGGATGAGCAATTTGCAACCTCTGTGAAGCACCCAAGGGGCCTCTAGCTTGAGCACACTAACTGGGTACAATTTGGTGTGGGGGCCAAGGAAGCTGAAACACCAAAGGCAGGCATCTGCAAGGGCTGGCAGAGGAGCTGGATCGAGGGAAATGTGTGTGTTATAGCCATGATGTGTGTGGGTCCACACATCTGAGCAGGGACCTCGGGGAGGAGAGAGCACCCCCACTCTTGGGCCGCCTTTAACTGGGTATGTGCCAGGTGATGTTCTGCTCCTCTGGCATTTCCCATCCAGCCAGGATCTCTGGTGTTTCTACAGAAGTGTTGTAGCCCCTCCATCCTCCCTTCTCCCCCAGGTCTCCAGCAGCTGTGACTATGTCTTCGTCAGCGGGAAGGAGTCGCAGGGCTCCATGAGCGCCCGGGTCACCTTCACCTATGAGCACCTCTCTGCCCCGCTGGAGATGACGGTGTGGGTGCCCAAACTGCCACTGCACATCGAGCTCTCAGATGCCCGGCTGAGCCAAGTGAAAGGTTGGAGGGTGCCCATCCTGCCAGACAGGAGGTGGGTGCTGCGGAGCCACCATGCTTGGGGTCTGTCCAGTCTGGAGAAGGCAAAGTGAAGGTGGTGGTAGTGGTCTTAATTGCCTTGTTCAGCTACTTAATGAGGGGGTTTTGAAGATGATGGAGCCAGAGTCATCTCAGGGGTCCTTGTGAAAAGGTGAGCGATCATGGACACAGGTTGCACATTTGTATGCAAGGGGAAAAATTTCACAATGAGGTTGGTGGGGAACATCCATCCTTGCAATGGTCAAAACTTCCCTGGATGAGGTCAGGAGCAGCTAAGCTCCAAAGTTAGCATTGCTTTGAGGTTTAGAGACCTCCAGGTGTCTGTCCCAACCTGAGATATCTTGTCCTCTCAGCTGGTTAGGGGGCAGAGATGCTGGTGACCCTGTTACCATGGGCTGCTAAAGTCCTCAGAGACATCATGGGCCACAGGCATCTTTTGGCCAGGAGTGCCCATTTTTTTGGTGATCTTGCATTTCTCCCTGCCCGGTCACCCCTCTCCTTTCTTGTGCGGGCTGAAGAGCCGCAGCAGCAGAGAGCTTGGTAGCACTGCCCACCCACTGCCCCATCCCGCAGGTTGGTGCGGGACAGCGAGCATGAGGAAGACGAAGAGGAGCGGAAGCAGAGCCGGGGCTGTGCCCTGCAGTACCAGCACGCCACATTGCAGGTCTTCACCCAGTTCCACACCACGGCAGCGGAAGGCACGGGGCAGGTGGTCACCATGCTGGGACCCGACTGGCTGGTGGAAGTCACCGACCTGGTCAGCGACTTCATGCACGTGGACGACCCACGGGTGGCCCATATGGTGGACAGCTTCACGCTGGCTGGGAGGGAGCCGGGCACCACACTCTTCAAGGTATCCCCTGGCCACCTTTCCCCATCTCTGCCAGCTTGGCTGGGGGTGCCAGATGGTTACAGGCACTCTTGTCCCCTGCAGGTTGTGTCCCCACTCATGGAGGCAGTGCTGGGGGAGACACTGGTGACGGTGGCAGAGGAGAAGGTCAGCATCACGGACCTGAAGGCCCAGGTGGTCTCCAGCCTCTCACTGTCCCTCCACCCCAGCCCTGGCAATAGCCACACCATCATTGCCCGGACGTCCGTGCAGCAGACCCTCAGCTTCTTCAAGCAGGTGAGGCCGGGGGGTGCACTTGGGCTTGGGGGGGGTTGGTGGGGGACTTGGGGTGAAGTGAGGGCTTAGCCTACAAACCCCACCTCCCAAATCCTGCCCACAGTCATCCCAGGCACCCGCAGCACCTGCTGTCCTCCAGACACCCTGGTGAAGCCCAAAGCACCCTAGAAACCTTCACACACACCTTTGAACCAATCCTGCCCAGCCTGAGGACAGGACACAACCATGGGACAAAGGGGTCTGGAAGAAATTCTATACAGTTCCCAGCCCATCTGTGGTAGCCACATCTGGCCCCTAGGGCTGGGATTTGGGGTGAGCCTGGGCAAGCCTGGGAAACATTGAGGGAAGAACAGGCAGAAGGGAAAAACTAGCTGACGGTTGGAAGGAACAAGATGGATGATGGAGGGATAAAGGGTGAATTGGATGGAGAGAAGGATGCAAAGGAGGAGGGATGAATGGATGGATGCAGGTGGGACTGGCATCGCGCTGGGCAACCGGTGCCTGTGTTGGTCCCACAGGAAGCGCTCCTGAGCCTGTGGATTTCCTACAGCGATGGCACCACGGCCCCCCTCTCCCTCTATGACCCCAAGGACTACAACCTGGTGGTGAGCAGCCTGGATGAGAAGGTGGTCTCGGTGACCCAGGACCGAGCGTTTCCCTTGGTGGTGGCAGAGAGCGAAGGCGCGGGGGAGCTGCTGCGGGCCGAGCTGGTGATCTGCGAGACCTGCCAGAAGACCAAACGCAAGAGCGTGCTCTTCACAGCCTTGGCCAGTGTGCGGGTCCACTTTGGATCTGAGGAGGACCCAACCTATGACTATGATCATGTTCCCAGCAAGCCGGGGCTGGCAGAGACGGGGGCGAGCACCACCCTGCGGGCAGAGGTGGAGAGGAAAGCGGAGCCGAGCGAGGACAGTAGGATGTCCAGCGCATCTCACCCCACCGAGGACTTCCCCACCATCCCCACCGGCTTCGTCCAGGTGACCAGGGGGCTGACGGACCTAGAGATAGGCATGTACGCCCTTCTGGGTGTCTTCTGTCTGGCCATCTTGGTCTTCCTCATCAACTGCATTGTCTTTGTGCTGAAATACCGGCACAAACGCATCCCACCTGAAGGCCAGACCAACATGGACCATTCCCACCACTGGGTCTTCTTGGGCAATGGGCAGCCCTTGCGGGCTCACAATGACCTCTCCCCGCAGCCCGAGAGCCCCGGGAACCCCCTGGAAAATGTCCAGACCTGCTGCCATGGGGACCACCACAGCAGCGGGAGCTCGCAGACGAGCGTGCAGAGCCAGGTCCATGGCCGTGGGGATGGTTCCTCAGGGGGCTCCACACGGGACCAGAGCGAGGACCCGCTCAACTCACCCACCTCCAAACGGAAGCGGGTGAAGTTCACTACCTTTGCAACGCTGCCCTCTGATGAGCTGGCCTACAACTCCATCCCCATCGCTGATGAGGAGGACTTGGAGTGGGTCTGCCAGGACATGGGGCTGCAAGACCCCGAAGAGCTTCACAACTACATCCGCAGAATCAAAGAGATCGCTTAACGCAGCCGCTCAACTCACCCACCTCCAAACGGAAGCGGGTGAAGTTCACTACCTTTGCAACGCTGCCCTCTGATGAGCTGGCCTACAACTCCATCCCCATCGCTGATGAGGAGGACTTGGAGTGGGTCTGCCAGGACATGGGGCTGCAAGACCCCGAAGAGCTTCACAACTACATCCGCAGAATCAAAGAGATCGCTTAACGCAGGGGCAGAGGGGATGGGGTGGGAGGGAGGGGGTGCCCTGCCACGCCATGCCACACCGTGCCACGCCACGCCATACCATGCCACACCACGCTGGCTGCTTCCCTGGGGCTGGAGACCCAAATTTGGCTCTCTCTTGCGTGATCCCTCTTCCGCACATCTCACGTCCTCCTCACCCCGTCGGAAGGCACCCGCAGGGGCCTTTTTGTTTTCTTGCCCTTTACCGTCTGGTTTTCCCA